CTGAAATTTCATGTGGTTGATGTGCATCAAAGAGTAACCACGGGGCCTAGGGTTCCACTGAGGGACCCCCTCCCTGCCCAGCCCAGCCCAGCCATGTCCAGGCCTTCACCAGTACCAACCACCAAGCCAGGGGGGCCCTCAAGACCACCCAGTGGGCCTGAAGTGCTTGAGGAGATGACTCTGATCACACCTGCCCACTTTCTCCCCTTTCTCCCACCCCTCCATTATGATCCAGTTGGCCTGGGCCAAGACCCAGAAATCCGGGTTTCCATTCTTTGTCTCTCTCATTCATTCACCAAAGATTTCCTGAGTACCTATCACGTGCCAGGTACAGCTAGGCATAGAGTACACAGCAGTGACCAAGTCAGACAGGGTACTTGGGGGGCCTGCTGTGGTGTTCCACTCAGATCCGGCCTCCTTGAACTGGGGCACTTGTTCTCCCAACTAAGACCTCAAAGCTTAGTCCCCTCCCAGTGATGCCATTGGCTGAGGGAAGTCACCTCCTCCAAGGTCATGTGCCCTCCCTGGAGGGAGCCCACTTGCAATGACTGGTCCATAGCCTCCTGCCTCAACTCAGAACAACTCTAAATAGCCATCGGAGCTCCAGAGCTCCCCCATGAGATTGGCCAAGGCCATTGGTGTGAAAGCCTGAAACTCCTTGGTGGTGTTATCCCCAAGGGGACTCTGCCAATAAGCACGAAAATCTCCACTTCAGGGTCCATCCTGTCCTCATGGACTTTAATTCAGAGTGCATACTAACAAAAAAATGCATATAGGTAAAACATCATGATTACCTGGGAGGCCTAGCAGTCCCTTGGTAAGGAACTGCTCAATTTTTACAATTAAATTGTAACTTTTCATGTAAAATTACACTGTAATAATCATAATTCAAAAATCAAGAACTGGTAGGATGAAAATAAACTCTTTCTTTCTCTCTTTCTTTCTTTTTAGAAATTGATACTTTTAGGGGCGCCTGGGTGGCGCAGTCGGTTAAGCGTCCGACTTCAGCCAGGTCACGATCTCGCGCTCCGTGAGTTCGAGCCCCGCGTCGGGCTCTGGGCTGATGGCTCGGAGCCTGGAGCCTGTTTCCGATTCTGTGTCTCCCTCTCTCTCTGCCCCTCCCCCGTTCATGCTCTGTCTCTCTCTGTCCCAAAAATAAATAAACGTTGAAAAAAAAATTAGAAATTGATACTTTTAATTATATAAGCAAATTCTACATGTAAAAAAAAACACCCAGGGCACCTGGGTGGCTCAGTCACCCAGGGTTAAGTGTCTGACTCTTGATCTCAGCTCAGGTCATGACCTCATGGTTCAGGAGATTAAGCCCCACATCAGGCTCTGTGCTGACAGCACCCAAACCTGCTTGGGATTCTCTCTCCCTCTCTCTCTGCCTCATGAACACATGCGCTCGCTCTCTCTCTCTGTCTCTGTCTCTCAGAAAGGAAGAAATAGGGGCACCTGTGTGGTTCAGTTGGTTAAGCAACTGACTTCAGCTCAGGTCATGATCTTGTAGTTCAGGAGTTGGAGCCCTGCATCAGGTTCTATGCTGACCGCACCGGAGCCTGCTTGGGATTCTCTCTCTCTGCCCCTCCCCCTGTTCATGGGCTCTCGCGCTCTCTCTCTCTCTCTCTCAACATAAATTAAATAAATAAATAAATAAATAAATAAATGTTCTCTTTAGAAATTATGAAAATTATGAAAAGGGGTGCCTGAGTCAGTTGAGCATCTGACTTCAGCTCAGGTCATGATTTCATGGTTCGTGGGTTTGAGCCCTGTGTCAGGCTCTGTGCTCACAGCTCAGAGCCTGGAGGCCGCTTTGGATCCTCTGTCCCCGTCTCTCTCTGCCCCTCCCCTGCTCGCACTCTGTCTCTCTGTCTCTGTCTCTCTCTCTCAAAAATAAATAAACATGAAAAATAAATAAATAAATAATTAAGAAAGAAACAAAGACGGAAAGAAAGACCCTAAGAAAGTAAAAGTATAAATGACTAACTGGGGAAAAAAAATTTGCAATTTATTTCACCACAAAGGGCTAATATCCTAAATACATAAAGAGCTTCACAAAACAGAAAACAAAAAGGCCAACAACCCTATATTAAAATGTGCTAGAGACGTGAAAAAGTGTACACAAGAAAGGTAAATGACTTGTAACCGTAGGAAGATGCTCAACCCTATTCAAGACAGAGAAATGCAAATTACAACACGGGATGGGGGGGGGTACCTACGCGAGATACCACTTCTCACCTATCAGACTGGCAAAACTCCAAACATCTGACAACACATTCTATTGGTGAAGCTATGGAGAAGTAGGAAAACTCCTATATGGCTGGGAAGAATGCAAAACGGCACAAGCCCTATGGAGGGGAACTTGAGAAAATGTTACCATAATTTTTACTAAAGTTTCTTGACCTTTAAAAAAGTCACTCAGATGCAGAAGTCTACTGAGCACTCCATTCCTTCCCGTGAGAGGGATGGTTTACATTAGTAGTGTATAAAACCACACTTCGGTTGCCTTTGACT